GCAGTTATCATCGAGCAGAAGAGATAAATTATGCACATAATAGAATGTAAAATATACATATCAGTATAAAAGGGATGGATCATAAATGGTGGTGGGAATTCTGAGATGGTCATGGAAAGTTTCCTGCACACCTGGAATTTGAAGTCCTCCTTCAAGGAGAGCAGGAATTTGGACATGGAGGTGTCAAAAAATTTTTTTAAACTAAACTTTTAAGGACTTTATTTATATGGATTATTGCAAAGAAGGGGACTACTGCTATAGGAGGAGGGCTATTGCAATAGGGAGACCATTCTGGGTATAAGATGTGCAGATGTCTCAGGATTTAGGCAAAAGAGTTTTTCTTTTTTAGGGAGAAGAAAACAAAGCTAGCAAGAACAGGGTGTGGGGAAATGGTGAGCAGGAGTGGCATGATGGGACAGCACATCAGAGAAAGTTCTACCCTGAGGCCAGCCTCTTCTGTCGAAAGCCTATTGAGGAATGACTATATGCTGGCTCAGGATGAGGGTAGGTCAAAGTTGGGGGCCTGAAGGAAGGAGAGAACCTTACTGAAATTATGGCTAATAAGCGTTTTGTTCTGGCTGATCAGTGGGGACAGCAGTTTAGCTAATCATTTATGATGTAAAAATAGGAATTTGGAGGGTCTGTGTCTGGCCTTGTCATAGGTAAACAAAGGAACATCCATGAGTTTTATCCAAATTATAAGAGGAAGGGTGGGTTTTTTACAGTAAGCTGTTGCCTGGAACAATAAAGGAGGGGGGAGTTTCTTAAACTTTACTGTTTTCTAGGATCATAGAGCTTGGGTAAAGTTCAACATTGTCAGCGGTATGGGAATAAAAAACCAGTGAGGACTCTCTAATGAATGAGATGTGCATGAGAGGAGGTTCATTTAGTCAGGATGTGAAGATTTTGAAAAAGAATTGCACTAATAATAATAGTAGCTTTCTGAGTGCCAGGCCCTGTTCTAAGCACCTTACATCTGTCAACTTGTTTAAATAATCCTTACAACCATCCAGTGACACAGGTACAATTATTCTCCCATTTTATATACAAGGAGTTTGAACTCGGCAGAGGGTAAGTAACTTTGGCACACTGGTAGTAAGACGTACAACTGGGGCTGTAAGTCATAAAGCCCATGTCTCCCAGGAACTGGCCCAATCTCTTTTCATTCCTTCAAACTGTTCCTTTAACCCAGGGAGATAAGGGGCTTAAAACTGCTGGAACAAGAGAGAGGGGACATACAGTGATTTTCCACTTTCCAAAAACAATTGACTCAATGAATACATATGAGAGAAGTTGTGGGACACAGAAGAAAGGAGAACATAGAAAACTAGAAAATCTGAGTTTGGCTGTGGTGCACTGGCAATAGCAGCACCCAGGGGAACTGGACAAAAGAAAATGACAGTTAACAGGGAAGGTTCTGGATGCAGAGAATAAAAACCAAAAACCTCAACCAGTCAGGGCAGAACGGGGGCCCACTGCTTTGTGTGCTTTCTCTTTGTGTGGGAATGGGTCAACTTAATATTGTCATCTTTATAGGCCCAGGTTTCCAGGCTTCGTTCCACCATGAATGAGATGATGGCAGCCCTTAATATATGAGTGGTAGGTGGAAAATGCCTGCCACTTTAGTCCTCAAGAGCATCCCTGAGTTACAGTCAGCCATCCCCACTAGTACAATTTAGCTTTCTAGAGTTAAGGACAATTACTGAATCCAACAGGCATTCACCTCTCCTTCCCTTAACCAGCTACATTTGTATTTATTTCTACTGTTCACAACCACCACATTGTTTTTCCTGATGATTATCTTGTGATTCAGTACATTCAGTCTAATGAGCCAGAGTGTACGTAATACATGGTTGAAAATTTTCTGAAAATATTGTTACCTATTTGGCATGTAAAGAATTGAACTAAGTTCATCTAGAGAGCAAAGTTTATGTAGCAATGCTGATTGCTACAACCAACAGAGATTTTATTGGAAATGTAAAGCAGTTAAATTCTCTTGAGTCCGTTCTGTGCCTCTGGACCAGTGGTAAGCATATTCACATCCTTACCTCTTTTCATCTTCCCAGGAACCTGTTAGTGGGGAATATGGTTTCTACTTTATGGATGAACAAATTGAAGTTAACAGAATTTAATCACTATGCCCAAGAGTTTGTACTTTAATCCTTAAAGTCCAGTTTTGGACCCAAACCTCCTTGATTTTAAAAATCTCCTAAACCTTTCCACTCTGAATTAGTCACTCACATTTTCAAGGCTGATCAATAACAGCTCTGCTACGTAATAGCTATGTGACCTTGGAGAAATTATTTAACTATGCTTTGACTTTGTTTCTTAATCTGAAAAGTGAGGGCAATCATATCTTCATCATAGGATCATTGTGAAGATTAAATCAATTAATATGTGTAAGGTATTTAAAAGACCTACGTAGCCACCATTTTTTATGTTAGCTGTGGTTATTAAAGATAACGACTGAGATGACAATGAAACCATGCTCTCTTTCTTAAAAACTCAAAACAAATAGCCAAACTCAGTATCTCAGTATGACTTTGTGTGCTCCAGCAATAGGATTGATTACATACGTGTATATATTCTTTGTCCTGCCATACTCTTCTAGCAGTTTAATCTAAGTAAAACTACAGAGAACTAGGAACATTAGTGTACTCAAAATTGAATTCACATGTAATTTTGGAAAACATCAGTTGGGAAAACTCTTTTGTGTCTATCTTTAAACTTATCTGAGTTCCTAAAATAAAATTTGTATTTGATATAAGAGGACAGGATGGCATCTTTGACAACTGGGTTTTGGGAAACTTAAAAAAAAAAAAACAGGATTAAAAGAGCCAACATAATATTGAAGAGGAAGAACAAAACTAAAGGACTGATACTATAGGACTTCAGTATTTACTATAAACTACAGTAATCAAGACACTGTGATGCTGGTGAAAGAACAAATAGATAAATGGAATAGAATAGAGATCCCAGAAATAGACCCAGATAAATAGAGTCAACTGATCTTTGACAAAGGAACAAAAGCCATTACAATGGAATAAAGTTAGTCCTTTCAACAGATGGTGTTGGAACAACTAGACATCCACAGGCAAAGATGAATCCAGACACAAACCTTAAATCCTTCACAAAAATGAACTCAAAATGTATCACAAGCATATATGTAAAATGCAAAACTGTAAAAGTCCTAGAGAATAACATTGGAGAAAACCTAGATGACCTTGGATTTGGTGATGACCTTTCAGCTAAAACACCAAAGGTATGATCCATGAAAACAAAGAATTGATAAGCTAGACATCATTAAAACTAAAAATTCTCCTCTGAGAAGAGTAATATCAAGAGAATAAGAGGACAAGTCATAAATTAGGGGGAAATATTTGCAAAAGATATATCTAACAAAGAAAGGTTATCTGAAATATACAAAGAACTCCTAAAACTAAACAATAAGAAAACAAACAACAAGATTAAAAATGGGCCCAAGATTTTAATAGACACCTCACCAGAGAAGATGTACAGATGGCAAATAAGCATATGAAAAGATGTACCACATAAAAGTCATCAGAGAAATGCAAATTAAAAAGGATAGTGAGATACCACTACATAATTATCAGAATGGCCAAAATCTGGAACACTAACACCAGGTGCTGGCGAGGGTGTGGAGGCCCTGGAACTCTCACTGATTGCTGGTAGGATCAAATGCAAAATGGTAGAGCCACTTTGGAAGACAATTGATGGTTTCTTACAAAACTAAACATACTTTTACCATATGACCCAGCAGTTGTGCTCCCTGGTATTTACCCAGAGGAGTTGAAAACTTTTGTCCACGTAAAAACCTGTACACAGATATTATACCAGCCTTATTCATAATTGCCAAAAATCAGAAGCAACCAAGACATCCTTCAGTAGGTGAATGGATAAATAAACTGTGGTACAGTCAGACAATGGAATATTATTCAGTTCTAGGAAGAAATGATCTATCCAGCCACAAAAAGACATGGAGGAAACTGAAATGCATATCAGTAAGTGAAAGAAGCCAGTCTGAAAAGGCTACATACTGTATGATTCCATCTATATGACATTTTGGAAAAGGCAAAACTATGAAGACAGAAAAAAACAGTGGTTGCCAGGATTAAGGGTGGGGGAATGGGAGATGAATAGACAGAGCACAGGAGTTTTAGGGCAGTGAATATACTCTGTATGATACTATGTCATACATTTTCCAAACTCAGAATGTATTAACACCAAGTGAACCCTAAGGTACACTATGGACTTTGGGTGATTGTGATGTGTAAGTGTAGATTCATCAACTGTAACAAGTATGCAACTCTTGTGGGGGATGTTGATGATGGGGGGAAGGGTCTGTGCATGTAGGGGGGAGGGAGATATAGGAAATCTCTGTACCTTCCCCTCAGTTTTGTTGTGAACCTAGAACTACTCTTAAAAAATAGTCTTTTACAACAAAATAAAGAATTTGCATATCATTGCCCTTGTATGAAGAATCAGGATTACTAAAATGTAAGAAACATTTCCTCATATTTCCCATTTGTATGGAACATGGAGATGTTATCACTGCCTTGACTCACTTGCTCCCTATGGTGGTTGGGCTCCATGGAGCCTGAGCGGAGCCTGAGTTTTCTTGTCTAAAATATATGTTGATAGGTGTGAACTGGGATCAGAGATCCAAGAGGTCAACAAAGAATTAATAGAGAAAGGACTAAGGGACAAAAATAAGGTCCTCTCCTAGAAATTCAAGTCTAGAACGAAGTAAAATTTATTGGAGTTTGTGGTGTGTCTGCGTATCGGTAGTAGTGCTCACTTGCCTCAGGGCAGGCTTTAAGTAGGCCTTGGAGTTTGCCACAATTTTATGCTCTGGGAAGTATGTGTTTGTAGATGATTCAAGCTAAGTTTAAAGGTTTCCAGCAGGGATTGCATAAAATATTGTGAAAATTGTATTGAAAATGATCTTAAATATTTTATTTTATTTTATTTTATTATTCTGAGTTCAGTTCAAGTGTGGAAATCTTCATAGTTATAAAGGTCTATAGTGAAACCTTTTTTATCACTGCTCAGAACTGATTAGTCTGTCATACACACACATATCCTCCCATCTCATTCATCTATCAACAAGTCCTCAGTTATCCAGTGTCACTTTTATAAATACACATGCATACACATACACTCACACTCACACTCATGCACTCAGAATCCCAGACATAAGCCCTTATTGTTTTAAATTAATTTTACTTCTCATGCATCAGGGAGCCTGGCAGGTGTTTTGATGCTCAGATTTGGCTATTTTCATCATTGATCTACGTTGCTAAGAAACAGATCCCAGAGAATTAAACATTTTAAATCTAAAAGACTAAACTAAATTCATTTAGAAGTTCCACTATGTCCTCTATGTAGCTATGGATTTCATCTCTTGCTGCCTTGAAGCTGAGCCTTAAAGAGCAAATAGTGGCCTCTCTCCAGGCCAAACAGACTGGAAAAATGATCATACAAACAACTACTGATTTTTGCTTTGTTGAAAAGAAAATATTTCCATTCTAGAACACAAAAATGAGTAAAAATAATCTAAGACTCTTTAAGGAGTATACTGATTTCTTCTGTATTTCTGAAACAAAGAAATAGTTAAGATACAATTTATCCAACCCCAGGCCTGAAGAAACTGGGTCCTATGTGCTAACATCAGGGCATCTTTCTGCTGCCACCTCTCCTGCCTCAAAACTGTTCTCCACACTGTGAAAACCAGATGCTTAAAGACCATCAGTAACTCACTCCACATTACTCAAAGGATTAAGTCCCAAATCCTTATTTGTTTTTTGTCAGCCCAGCAATCATTAGTCCTCACTTACCTCACACTCCTCCCCCCACCATCATCCATCTGTTTGCTGTATTCTACTTTATCGTCCAGCCAAACTAAATTTTCTTGATCATACACCAAGGAGTATTCCTTCTGCCCAGATCACTGTCCACCCTCACCACAGACATTCACTTGATTAACCTCGGTGCGTTCTTCAGGTCTAATGTATACCTTCCAGGTGAAGTCTTTCTTTAGGCCTCAAAATAAGTGGCTCCCCTTTTTGTGTTCTCATAGTGTCAAGGCACGTCTGTTTCACACACTTTTATAGTCATATATTTAAAGTCGCGTTTCTCAGATGTTCGGTGTGCATAGGAGTTAAAAGGAGATCTTGTAAAAATGCAAATTCTGAGTCAGGGTGATGCCAATGCTGCAATCCCCAGAGCGTGCACCGAGTAGCAAGGACGTAAAGTCTGTGTGCCTCTGTGGACCTGAGGACAGAATCCTCAGAGCCTGACACACAGCAGGCCCTGAATTCACAGCCACTGAATGAATTTCAAAAGTGATAGAATCTTGACAATATAACATTTTCATTTTAAAATACAACCAGTGCTTACAAATAACCACTTGAGAAGAACTTTGTTAACTTCCTTCCCTCCTTCTGTATCTTGGTATTTCCATCTGTTCTTTCTGTCTCTTTGCCTCAAAGTTCACTGGTATCTGGAATTTCTACCCAATCCCTTCCTTCTCCTCTATTCCTTTTACACCCTGGAGGCATTTTCAATGATAGCACTTCTGAAAATAAAAAGCAAAGGAAGCCAGGGAAGAGAGATGAAGAAAAATGAACCTCTTTTCTCTTCTTCAGCTATCAATTGAGTTACTTTCTTGTTTCTCCAAATCTAACCTCCTTGGACCTAATCAGACTATTTATCAAAGAATCCCAAACACATCCCTAGACTCCACTTCAGTGTTGTAATGCTCAAAACTATTGTCTGTCTGTTCCTCAGAAATGGAAATGAACCTTATATCAGTCATTTATTTACACAAAGACTTGTCTTTTAACATCTAAGTAAAGATTTGACTGTGTTTTAAGCCATATCTTTAAATGCATATTTGCCTAGGGCTTGGGGAGAGATACACATAGTCATTTTGTTCCAAATATTTGTAGGTGGGGATATTGTGAACATGGAATAGTGAGAATACCACAAACCCCCTGTGGTCCCTTACCACCCATATGCCCAGCCCTTGTCTCAAATACAAAAAATAAGCAATGTTAGAGAGCGGTCACTGTAGCAAAGGACGAAAGTGGTGAGAACATTTTATGAGATAATAATTCTCCTACCAGGTGGACAGCCTTTAAGGAGTTACAGGCACTGCTCTTCTCCATTAGGGCTAGATATGTTTCCAAGCAGACAAAAACCATCAAGGAAAACACTGTTTTGGGGAGATAATCTGTGCTGAGAAACCTCAGACACCTGTGGTTTTAGGAAACCACAGATTGACTTTTCTACTAGGACATACAAATCTTTGTTAGGCTTTAAGTGTATTTAATGTCCAAAGGAACAATTTATGGAAGGGTAATTGGTCTGGATTTCTATATTAAGTTTATGGTATGATTTACAGAATATGTATTACAATGTGTAATTCATACCCTCCACATTTGCATCTCATGTATGTATCTGTATATCCCCTATGATTTCATTTCTTGACAGCTAAGGCTTGAAAGAGATCAGAGGAGAAACTCTTGGTAAATGTGTAGATTTGTTCACTAACAAGATGTTAGACATATAAATTTTATACTAAAAATGCCATCCCCAAATATAAAGAAAATAGAACAATTATACTAGGGTATGGATTCTAGCAAATTAAAAGAAATATCTGCACGATCTGTGTTTCTCATTATCTTGACCAAGTGCTGTTAATAACTTTTCTGGAAGCCACAGACACAGTGGTAGCACTTAATTATGATGCAGTCTTAAAATATAACACAGTGCACTTTATCTATGGCCTTCAAGATCACATTGGCAGCAGAGCCTGCCATAATGAACTGTCCTGAAGCCTTGAGATGCTGTTTTCAGCAATTTTGCATTTGAGTGTTCAGATTTTACAGTGTGTGAAGTCTGACTGAATGTGCTTCGCCACTGTAACTTCAAAATATTCACATTTTCCTTTTCTCAATTTAAGGCCATGTTAATAAAAAAAAGCATATAGAATATTGCAAATAAATAGCTATAGTGAACTAAGAACTAGATAGAACCCCAAGATTTTTCAAGATATGCTAATGATTATTTTGTCCAGTAGAGTTAATATTGCTGCAGGACACACATAAAAAAAAGGTACTTCACATCCCCCATAGTTCTCAGTGGTGAACATACCAGCCCATAATTATCAGCACACAATTATTCAGTTATCTACTTGCAATCAAGAAAATATCATTCCTTGTCTTTTGATATTTTGTTTCACATCATGTAAGCATATGTCTAAAGTATTAATAAAATTATAAATTACACATTTGATGATCAAACAGGAGAAAATCTCTTAAACACTCACATTCTCTGCAATTTTCTTCTACAAATGTTACACCACTTTTGCTACTTTTATCTTAATTACAAAGAGTAGTTGGGGCGCCTGGGTGGCTGAGTCGGTTAAGCATCCGACTCTTGGTTTCAGCTCAGGTCATGATCTCAGGGTCATGAGATCAAGCCCCAAGTTGGGCTCCCTGCTCAGTGGGGAACCTGCTTGAAATTCTTGCTCCTTTTCACTCTGCACCCACCCCCCGCCACACTCTCTCTCCCTCTTCAAAAAAAAAAAAAAAAAGAAAGAAAGAAAGAAAAAGAGAAAGAAAGAGTAGCATAGGGTTTGGTGCATAAGGAAAGGGAAGAAAAGGAAAAGTTAAGTCTTCCTAATAAGGAATATTATGCTGAATACTAACTACCACAAGTCATCAGTCATGGATATTAGAAGGAACCCCCTTAAATGTGCATATGCTATTTTTTAAGATTTAAAATATTTTACTTCCAATTTTAATTCGCCAATATCCATTGTCACTTTTTTAAAACTATAGAGTTTTTTACCCCTCAGGTTATATATATATAACGAGAACTTAACTGCTCTTTTTGGAGTCACTCTGGGGTGTTGCATTAATTTTAGCTGTACGATAACAATATAAAGTAATTTTAGAAAACCACAAAGTAACTTAGGGGCCTCATAAATGAAAGCACTTTTCAGAATGTTTATTGACAAAGACAGCCTTAATGTTCCCTCAGCTTGGTTAACTTTAGACAGATTTCTTCATTGTTATAGGCCCCTCACCTCCGTGTTCTTAGAGCTTTAACTTTAGAAAACTTGAAGTTTTCAATTCTTTCCTGCCCCTTTGAGGTATAAATCATCTCCCAGGCTCTTGCCAGTTTTACATCTCAGAGGTGTCTTTCTCAAAGACTTGGGAGCCTTCTCTTTGATACATAATCATCAAGGAAACTAAGGTGCCCTCTTTCTAGTCTCTTTGTGGGAGTAGGAGTCTAACTTTGATAGATAAGTGTGTCAAGTAGCAAACGCACATAGCCTAATCACACTGACCAATCCCCTCCCCCAGTGTCCTCCAGTACTTTTCTACTAGCTCATCCCAGTGCTTAAAATCTCTCTCACCTTTTGTTTTGGTGGAGTTGAGTTCTGTCTCTCTCCCCTAATGCAATTGCCTTTCATAAATTCTTCCTTGCCTGTTTAATTCTGCCTGGTACAATTTTTCTAGGACATTGTTCAGACCTCAAGTTTACGTGAAAAGAATCTGGATCAATGTAAATAGATTTTTAAAGGATTTTAATGAATATTCTAAGACATAGAAGTACCTTATCTACCTGCAATTACTAGGCCTTACCTTTTTAAGCCATGCTACGTTTTTGCCTACTTTTATCATTCATGGTGAAAATATTCATAAAAATGTAATAAGCCTTCTATTTTTTCTCAAAATAAAAAAAAAACTTTGTTTCTCAAAGTGAAAATAGTTCTGTTGGTGTGTGTGTGTGTGTGTGTGTGTGTGTGTGTGTGTGTATGAGTGCGTGTGTATGTGTGCGTGTGTGATTAAGCAAAACTGTGCATGTAGAAAATTCAAACACTGGAAGCCATAGTTTAAAGCAAAATGTTTCCCATCCTTTTTAGAAAGGTTCAGATTTTAACCAACCCCCCCATGAGATTTTAAAACCACAGATATGTGGTATATCTGTTTATATATGGTGGCTTTTAGAATGCCATAAACTATTGTAATAGCCCAGATTTGTTTGCCCCTCAGGAACTAATTTCTGCACTCATGGGATGATAGTATCCACCAAAAATGAATAGATTAAAGCACAAAATAAAAATCACCTAAAATCCCACACCACAGAGGTGACTACTATTTGTATTTAGACAAATATCCTTTCATATATCTTGCTAACAATATTTTATATGCTTTCTTTTATCCATCCGTGTACTTTAATAACATAATGTGGACATATTTCCATATTAATATAAGTAG